AATATGTATATATATATATATATATACATATAGAGGTATAGAAGGAGGAGATATAATAAATAATATATAATAAACATACCTAGGTAATTTTTTTCTTAGACAATCTATACTAACAACTCTTCCCTTCATAGGATCAAGCCCCAAATTATCCATCTCTAGTCGTAAATATTTTGTCTTAATATTTCCCTCAAGGAGACCAGCAGGTAAAAAGTCTGTTATCTCCATTGGATCTTTAGGTAATTCATCCCATAATGCACGAGCTGCCTATACACCACAAAAAAAAGCCCCATAATAATAATAATAATATACACAAGATATATACATGCATGCATGTATGTATTGAATGTATGTGTATATATATATGTGTGTGTGCAGTAAGTGCATGCACTGGATGAATGAAGAATATGCATGTATGCATTCATATATATGGATTGTATTTAGTAAATTTATGCATGCATCTATGTATGCATGTATGCATGCATGTATGCATGCATGCATGCATTCATGCATGCATGCATGGATTCATATATAACTTACTTTATCTGGTATAATAATCTCAAGATGTTTAAGTAATCTTTTGAATAAGAAGAAGTTAATAAGTCCCTTATAAGATACAATAGATGATAAATGTTCATCTTTATTAGTAAAAGGTTTACCTAATATAGTAATAGGCTGTAGATACACCCTAATTATACCTAATTTTACGTCCCTCTCTGGTAGAAATTGTTGTATTTCCTCATAATCCTCAAACCCAACCATTATCCATAACATTCGTGAATGACGATGACCAACACTTAGTCCTAACTTCATAGCTACACGATGAAACATCTCAAAGGATACCATACGCATACCCTGCAGCAGCAGCAACAGCAGCAAGTGCAACAAGTGCAGCAACAAGTGCAGCAGCAACAAGTGCAGCAGCAACAAGTGTAGCAGCACAACATGTAATAGTATCTCTTGTTGTTGTTTGTTGTTGTTGTTTGTTGTTGTTGATGAATGTGTGTAACAACAATAACAACAACAGCAGTTGTTACAACAACAGCAACAGCAGCAGCAACAACAGCAGCAACAGCAGCAACAGCAGCAACAACAGCAGCAACAACAGCAGCAACAGGAAGAAGAGCAATAAGAAGAATAACATACTTCTTCTATGGAGTCTAATGCAAGATCTTGTGTAACATGTTGATAGAAATCATCATGATGATGAATATCTTTATGAATATTATCTTTATGAATAAATGTATTAAATTGTGTAATAATATTAATAGTATCTTTTTGTTCAATTTTTCTTTTTCTTATTCTATCTCTTCCTCTTCTTAATTGAGATATTTGTGGCTGAAATAATTTATGTATTTCTTTAACAAATTCAAGTACCTGGCTCTTACCCATAAATCCAGGACTAGATGCAGTTAATCTATCAAATGCTAATAACATCTCATTTGTCCAACCTGGTGCTACACGATATGCTGTCCAATCTATTGCCTCATTTACTGTCTCACCTATATACATATACATATACATATACATATACATATACATATACATATACATATATACATATACATATACATATATACATATATACATATATACATATATAACTATATATATATATATATATATATATATATACATATATGTATATGTGTATATGTGTATATGTATATGGATGTTTGTATATGTATATATGTATATGTATATGTATATATGTATATGTACATATGTATATGTATATGTATATATGTATATGTATATGTATATATGTATATGTATATATGTATATGTATATATGTATATATGTATATGTATATGTATTATATTTAGATTTATCTGGTATTGTGCATGCATCAAGAATAGAAGGAGAGAGTAAATAAATACATAATATTAATATGTTATTTTATGTCTGCACAATATATAACAAAAGGAGACACATAAATAGACAAATTAATAAATTAATGTGTCCTATATAAGGGAAAGGAGACAGTGTATATATATATATATATA